GAGCGCATTCACATTTGTTTAATAAATAAAAAGGAATAAAATTGGAGCACATACTCGTTTAATTTATAATGAATTTTACTATAAGGCTTTTTCACTATTTTTGCTTATTTTTAAGAAACTTTTGTGCTAGAAAGCTCAAAATTTCTTTTAATATATGTACCAGCAATTAGCTGTTTGATTCTGTTAAGCACAGAGGATCTAAAAGGTTTTTTTAATGATTGATTTCAACTTCAATTTTATTGCTTGTTTAGACTGATTTCTTTATCCAATTGAGCTTTTGGATCAACAGTAGTTAAGAGAAATTAATCAATTCGTATGACTGTGTGAGACCTGATGTCCTGATCTAACCGATTTTTAGTTAGATTTTTTCAATTTTCAACGAGGAGTTTAATATTTTTAATAGGTAATTATATTTCTTGAATTTAAAGTTATTATAGGATTATAATACTGTTTTTTCAATGAATTATTATATATTTATATATCTAACTTTTAAAATTATATATATATTTACACAATTTAATCGTCTTTAAAATAGAATATTTGGAGATGGTTTAGGGTCTTGTGATAGCTCTTGAGCTCTTCTTGAGCTTTCTTACAAGAGATAGATAGAGTGAGAGGGAGGAAAGGGGGAGAGACATCAATTCAGAGGAAAACATATACTAAAGTTTTATTAAATTTTTTTTCAAATTAATACATCTCATATAATGCCTATATATAAGCATTTATATTGTTGTGGTAACCGGAGGAGCAACCTAATTAAAACTAGACAAACCCCTCACAATATTCACCTTTGTCCAAGTTTTACAACTAAAGAACCATATCTTCACCAACTGTGATCAAAATGTCTTCTAGCACTAACTCCATGAGCAATCCCGCCGAACTGAGTCCAACCCTGCTCGCAAACCACCAAAACCGTGCGTTCCAATTAACGACTCCAGCTCATGTTCCAAAACTAACCCGCTAGTCTTCCTCGAACACTTATACGCACTCCAACCTGTGACCTTATACTATACCTATCCGATTTCGAGTCTAAGACCAAACTGTCACCCAGGTTCTTGATTTGATCCACTGCTCCAACACAACAATTAAATGACCCTCCTCGCCAATCAACTTGCAATCATACCCGAAAGCTCCACCTCAAATATCTGAACGGATCTTTAGTAAAGAAAAAGATCTTGAATCTTCTACTTTCGGTTCGATCTTTAATCAAGAAGAAAAAATCTACTTACATTCGGGTCATTGCCCTGTCAACGGCCGCAATCTGCAGCCAAATCCCCAGCACTTACATGTGACTCGACGGCAACATCCACACAACCCTAGGAGCCACCATCGCTGCACCTTGATCCCAGACCTGACCGTATACTAAAGTTTTATTAAATTTTTTTTCAAATTAATACATCTCATATAATGCCTATATATAAGCATTTATATTGTTGTGGTAACCGGAGGAGCAACCTAATTAAAACTAGACAAACCCCTCACAATATTCACCTTTGTCCAAGTTTTACAACTAAAGAACCATATCTTCACCAACTGTGATCGGGAGGGGTAATTAACTATAGGGGCTTGCGCCTATAGGAAACCAGAACTCAGATCATAAAGTCCTCGCAAATGAGGGCGAAATCTCTGGGTAGTGTCTTATCTACAAACCCATCTGCCTTCCAAAATTTACCCCGGAACTTATCAGTTAAAACTCCCTCGCCGGAATAAAAGAAAAGAAATCGCGCGGCGGGGAGGCCGGGGCCGAATTTTCGGAGCCCACAACATGTTCGACGTGTGTCGATTGCATACAGGGCAAGTGCATGTATCCTATAAATCTCATATACATCTCATACACAATGCGCTTCTTCTTTTCAAAGTGTGAGTGCTCTATAGACAAGCACTTAAAATTAAGCTTAGCTGGATAGAAATTTAAAATAAGTTTTGAAGTTTAGGCTTAATTTCTCAAATAACACACAATAGGAATAAACGAAAAAATGATTCTTAAAGCCAACCAAAACAACTGGGATAAGACTAATATTGATGATAATTTTGAAGCCATTTTGTATCCTATGAGCATCTTCTTACACTATTCAAAAAGGTTTATATGGGCATTGTCAAAGCATAGTATTTTATTTTGTCCTTTGCACAATGATTCATATGTTAAATCATTTTGAGATTCATATTTTTGGTAACTTCAACCAGTGAAGTCGATTGGGAAGACAGAGAGCCCACTTGTCTCATAAATTATTCTTTCTTGGATTTTAAAAATTGCAAAATGGTTTATGTTGTGCGTGCAAAATAATTATTCCTCCAAACTATCTATAAATAGTGTTACATTTGGCCCTTTCTCTGAAATTGATGCAAGCAAAAATTTGGAAAAGCCCCAAATTTTTGCAAGAAAAAAGAAAGTCTTCCTAGGATATAGAAAATTAACAAAATACTCAAAAATAGATAAAATACATACTAAAATTCAACTTTCATATTATAAAAGACTCTTACAAACTTTGACATAAAAACAAACACCTAAACTTGCTTTTCTTGGATCGAGAAGAAAGATACAATTGACGTCGAACTTGCGGAGAGAAGAAGGAGATAAGAAGCCGAGATGAAAGGGAGGACAAGCTCGCAAGCTTTCCTAGGAAGGAGAGGAAGAAGTGGAACAAGCTCTCAAGCTTTTCCAAGAAAAACCCTCAGGTTTTCACGTCCAAAAATCAGCCATAACATTCTCTTTAAACTCTCAAAACACCTTATATTTATAGGAGAAAAGGGGCAGTCAAACAACCCTTAAAATCATAAATTTAACCAATCAAAATAGAGAATATAGAAGGTAAAAAGTCAGTCCAAAACAACACCCAAACAACCACATAAAAACTAGAAAAAAGGCAGCCAAGAGGGAACCGAAATAACATCCAAAGGGAGCCAGAACAGCACCCGAAAAGGCCACATAGAAAACCAGGAAAAGCAGCCACGGGAGGAACCGAAGGGGCAGCTCAGGGGATCGAAACCAGCAACCAGGGAGTCCGGAACAACCACCACAGGGAACCAAAACCAGCAGCCAGTCAGGGAAAACCGAAGGGACACGGGGAAGGGGAAAGGAATAGGCAACCATAGGGGGGAGAACCGGCCATGAGAAGAAGAACCAAGGGGGGGGGGGGAACCAAAGAGCCAATAGAGGGGGGAATGATCCAAAATAAATACTCAATTTATGAGCTTAAAAAGTAATCCTAAAGACATTAATGAGCTGAATTTAGTAGAGGATAAAAAAACTCACCAAAATTAAAACCCAAAATATTTTGACCCCCCCTTTGCCTCCATAAATTTTCCCTGGTTGAAAGAGAGCTCATCTCCTGATTATGCTTGAGTATGCTCTGGAGGCGTCGCATCTAATTCTCGAATCTTGTCTTCATATTTCTTCAGGATCTTCTCTCGCTCTACCATGAATTATTCCTGCAGAAATTTCTTTTTCTTCACATAATTTTCCGTACACACGTGCATTTTCATTTGAAGCTTGTATAGTTCATTCTTTAGGGGATCTGTTGAACTTCCTTCCGTTGGAATCCATCTGTCTATAGGAATATTTTCTTTGAGATTTTCTGACTGATTTTCATCCACCACTGGATCACTGTTTTTATATTTTTTCATTTTTTTAAAAGAAGACTCAACAAAATTTAAACTCACTTGATAACAAGACTCACACAACAACTATTATGATTCACCAAGACTCACTCGACAAACCTGCTCTGATACCAAATTGATGCAAGCAAAAATTTGAAAAAGCTACAAATTTTTGCAAGAAAAAAAAAGTCTTCCTAGGATATAGAAAATCAACAAAATACTCAAAAATAAACAAAATACATACTAAAATTCAACTTTCATATTATAAAAGACCCTTACAAACTTTGACATAAAAACAAACACCTAAACTTGTTTTTCTTGGATCGAGAAGAAAGATATAATTGGCGACGAACTTGCGGAGAGAAGAAGGAGATAAGAAGCCGAGACGAAAGGGAGGACAAGCTCGCAAGCTTTCCTAAGAAGGAGAGAAAGAAGTGGAATAAGCTCTCAAGCTTTCCCAAGAAAAACCCTCAGGTTTTCATGTCCAAAAATCAGTCATAACACTCTCTTTAAACTCGCAAAACAGCCCTTAAAATCATCAATTTAACCAATCAAAATAGAGAATATAGAAGGCCAAAAGTCAGTCCAAAACAGCACCCAAACAACCACATAAAAAACCAGAAAAAAGGCAGCCAAGAGGGAACCGAAATAGCATCCAAAGGGAGCCAGAATAGCACCCAAAAAGGCCACACAGAAAACCGGGAAAAGCAGCCACGGGACAAGCAGCCAGGGGAGGAACCGAAGGGGCAGCACATGGGATCAGAACAACCACCACAGGGAACTGGAACCAGCAGCCAGGTAGGGAAAACCGAAGGGACACAGGAAAGGAGAAATGAACTGGCAACTAGAGGGGGAAGAACTGGCCATGGGAAGAAGAACCAAGGGAGGGAGGGGGGGGGGGAACCAAAGAGCCAATAGAGAGGAGGGAATGGACCAACATAATTACTCAATTTATGAGTTTAAAAAGTAGTCCTAAAGACATTATTGAGCTGAATTTAGTTGAGGATAAAAAAACTCACCAAAAATTAAAACCCAAAATATTTTGACCCCCCTTTGCTTACATCAGAAATAGTTAGCATTTATAATATGAACAATGCTTCTGGCATCCCCAAAGTATAACATATATTCAAAAACATGCTACTCCTTGCCCATGGACTATAATTGAGTGGAGAGAGCCTTTTCATACTTTTTGTGTGCCCTGGTCAAACTTCGTGCTTTCTATAAAGAGTAGTATTGAAGAGTTATTGAGTTCGGGAGTGAGAAAACAGTTCTTACCTTCTTTTATATTATTGTTACTTCAACTATGTTATGACTTATGTAATTTCATTGCTTTTTGGAAAATATGGTTTTATCATTTGGAACCTTTAAAAATCCATCATAATTGGTTATTATATTTTGAACAGGTTGTTAGGTCACAATGGTCAATATGAGCAAACTACTCCTAGTCAGTGGCAATTAGCCTGTGTTCAAGCTGCGGGGGGTATATTTGCTGGAGCTGTGGCATCCTGTGTGACAACCCCATTAGACACCATTAAAACCCGATTACAGGTAAGATTTCTTATGTAACTTTCGGAACTCTTGAAATCAAACAGTAATGAAACTAAAATTAATGTCTTTTGTATCCATGAAGACTGCCTTGGTACCATAAATTGTTTTTTCTTTTTTTTGCTAGGAATTTCCTTAAGAACATTAATTATCAAAGACATATTATATTATTGATTTAACCCTTTATTACCTCAATACCGAGCATTAACCCTTAAAACCACTTTTTTATTTTCTTTTTGATATGTGGTTGCTTCTATTGGGTGGTCGTTTGGACTTATCCTTAGGTGGTGGTTACCCTTGATTCTGTAGACTGATGTCTGATGTTGATAACATTTGAGCAAGTTAATTACATGATAATTGGAATGCCCTTATACACAATTATTTGAGAGGGGTTGGTGTTTTATAACTAATGAAGAGGATTTTTTTTTTGGCAGGGGAGTCTTGGTTTTGTCTTTGGAGATCTGGTTTTGAGTTTTATGTTAGGCTCTTCTTTATTCACTTCTAGATTCCTGTATTTTAGCAGAAGTTGCTGCATGAGTTGCAAGGCTGGGGCTTATCCTCCTCTGATTTGAGTATCAGAGGTGTGGTGGGTGCACCACTTCTCCTGCTGGTTATCCCATACGCATGAGTTGGATTTAATGTTGCGTATGGTTTAGTTTTCTTTGGTTATTTTAATTGTGGCTTTGATTAGTTTTTTATCTAATCTAAATTTGAACAGAGTTGATTTTATGCCAACTTTATTTATTAAGTCTAGATCATGAGGAGTCTATAAATCGATATATATAGAATTAAGAACTTTTGGATTTAATATTTTTTTTTTCTTTTTAGTTTCAATTTTGTGAGTGCAAGTTAGATTTGTGATTCATTCGAGTGTGGTATACAACTATTTGATTATGGAAAAGTCATCTCCTTATATTGATGTGAGGCTTAGGATGTAAGGAGGATGCTTCTTAGAAGGAAATCAGCCCCTTATTGAATTTTCCTTTCCTTTCGTCTATCTGATGCTTGTTGATGGTGAATTATTTACGTTTAGTCATGTGATAGGAAATACTTGAGTTCGCAAGCAACCCTAGCAATAATTAGTCAAAACATCGGAAATAATGCAAAATCTGGGTGAAATCAACCTAAAAAAGATATATTGCAATAGTGGAATCAAAACAAAACAAACACCAAAGCAAGAAACAATGGATCCTCAAATCGAGAGGAGGATCGTTCTCTCCCAATCTCTAGACGATGAGTCTAGAGTCCAAGGCGCCAAGGAACTCCAAGAGAATAACTCAAAACATGCATGCCGTAACCCTAACCTCCTCCCTTCTTTTAATACATATCTTCTTAATAAAAACTAATAATAGATTTTCTAAAATAAACATTAATTCAAATAGTTTCCCTAATCCCTTCCCTCTCTCTCTCTCCTGCCGCCCTAGGGAGGCCCACATGCTTGGATGGCAAATAAAGAATGAGATTTAGCCCGCCTCCTATAGGTCTGAACCGGCCCCTCATGGGCCGGTTTGGACGGTTTTGGCCAAACCGTAATATCATGTTTTGAATACATTTGTTTGGCGTGTCTTTCTACCTTCTCTCCCTCATCTCCTTAACCATTTCTCTTGTCCTCTCCTTCCTCTCGGTCAGCTGCCTCTCAAATGACTCTTCTTATCCCATCAAGGATGCATGGTATACAGGGAAACAAGAAAAAAATAAATAAATAAAATAAAATAAATTAAAAAAAAAGTGATCTTATTCACACTCCTTACTATCTTTCCTCTTTATGGATGGATGGTAATGTCAATAACTTGGAGCTTAAATATCAGTAGAATATAGTAGACCTTCAAATCCTCGAAAGGAGACCGCAGTCAGTTACCTGAAAAGGGTGTCATTTTTAAAATTAAAACATGTGTTTTTCCATAATGTTTGAGTATATTTAGTTGCTTTTATTAATAATCTTAATATATAGTGCTTATGTGACTCTTATTATGATACATGGAGAAAAATGATTCATGTAGCCGATCCCATGTAGTGGGATAAAGGCTTGATGTTGTTGATGTATATATTGTTGCTTATGGAGTCGAGAATAATTCAGTTAACCTTTGTTTGTGTAAATGAGCTAAAAGTTTCACTTTCTCAACAGATGAGTCCGATATGAACAATTATCAAGTTGAGCATGCGCTTTCATTCATTTGTATACACAATTGATATTTTCTTTTCATAGGCTGCATTTTTGCACTAAAATGTTGTTGATAGCCGAGTTAAATTTTGCATAAACGATAGTGTTAAGATGCAGTGCATTAAAATAATGATTTTAAAGAAATATTGAACATAACACAGATTAATTATAGGGTGGCACAAGTTGATTTAGATATTTGGATTATGCACAATAAAGAGACAAGCTAGTACATGTAGACGGTAAGGTCGTGCATGTGCTTTGGGCATACGAGATTGTTGGTCATAAAAGCTCCAATAATATTGACTAACGAGTTAATGTGCAGAGATTAAGAGGAAAATAGGTTGACCAGATATCTTGAATTTGTGCAAAAATATTCATGCTAAATAGAGTTGACACCTCACACAATACTCTATAAGAATGACTGAAAGAGGAAGATTTATATTGCTGCTCCCAAATAGTTAGGATAATGTTAATAATGATTGTGATATTTTAATAACTTAGTCTTCTTCCCCTGAACCTCTGAAAGTCAATGGTAAAAGCTCTGCCAAAAATTCATGTAATGAGTCTGAATTTCATGTTTGCTAGTGCTAGGTCTGTACTTTGCCCTAACTCAATATAGTTGAGAAGTAGCTAAGTTTGCCTTGTGGCCTCAAAGACTAGACTTGTGATATAAAACTACCCAACTCAATTCTGTTGAGAAATGGGGAACGTTTGGCTTGTTGACCTCAAATGCTTGCAACTATGATGATGGCATTGTGACATTCTAGGGTTTTTTCATAACCTCTGTTTGCTTATCCTATTTTTAAGCTCTGCTAAAATTTCTACTGCTTCATATAGGTTATGGATAATACTAAAGAGAGACAGAAGGCTAGGCAAGTTGTTAAGAATTTGATTGCGGAGGATGGATGGAAAGGTTTATATAGGGGCCTAGGTCCAAGGTTTTTCAGCATGTCGGCATGGGGCACCACTATGATCGTCTCATACGAATATTTGAGTAGGCCATTCTTCTCCTATATATATATATATATTAATTTTTATCCTTTCTTTATAGTTAAATCTCCTTTTATCGTGTTTTTATTTTTCATATTTGTTTTGGCTCAACTTGTTGGTTCTTTTGAATAACACTAGATCCCTCATTCCGTACCTCCTTTATACAGACACGCACTTTGAAATATCACATCTCCTTGCTTTAGTATACTAATATATGAAAAGCTAATGGACAGTGGCATCCATCAAAATAAATCTGAGATCTTTTGTTTGATTTATAAGAAGTTCATATGTTCTAAGTATATGTTTGTTTTTCTGAACCTTTTCTCCTATGCAGAGCGTTTGTGTGCTAAAGTCGAGGACTGAACTTACTACCATTGAAGACGGAATGGTTAAAAGGAAAATTAGTCGTCTATATTTTCACACATCATAGATTAGGAAACATATCAAAACCTTTTTGTGGAAATTTTCAGTTAGTTGGAATGACATTTGTTAGCAGAATAATAAAGTTGACTAATTATTTTAAAGGTCGGCATATTACCGTTCCAATCGGAACAATTTGTTTAGACAACGAAAGGATCTCCATGTCTTCGATTCTTTTTGTCAAACGGAAGCTGGATGTTTCATCCAAGATATCTCATGTTTAATTTTCTTGATCAAAGAGGCTCATTCTTGAGGCTTTGTCTTTACTACTAACTGTGTCGAAGTTGAATGATAAAATTATGGTTATTGATATGTGATGCTGAAGAGATATTGAATCTTCCAGATTGAGTAGAAAGAGAGTAAACTTTATCTAGGAGACTCTGCATCGATCAGACTTTGGTTGGACAAACCAAATTAGATTAGGTATGTCAACTAGCAAAAGTCATAAATTTCATTTGATTAAATATAATTTGGCAAACATACCCAGGTCTAAAATTGAACTGATTGAGCAGAAATTTATATTTACTATGGACGTAAAAGCTCCCTGCTGCATCTTTGAACCATGATTTTAAGTTTTGATGATCTCAGGTCAGATCCAAAATGTATTTATTTATTCTTATTTTCATCTATTATGGAAAGTGTCTAGCCAAGTCTGATTTATGTGAAACTGCGGAAGTCCATTTTCAATAATTGAAATATCAACTTGGTTTTCAAAATAACTTCAAAATGCATTGGCACATTTTTTTTCTTTTTCTTTTTAATTTTAAGTACTAGCATTTAACCCACTATATAATTATTTTGATAATGGAGAGGCCGCCGCCTCAAGAAAAAAAAAAAATGTTTCAGAAGTTTAGGTTCATTCAAGGTCTATAAATATCAGTCTCAAATTCTTAATTAAAATAACAATCTATCATATCTTCTTCTTCTTTTTAACAATTTATCGTATCTTGCATTTCATAAGACTGCATAGCAAGGTGTTAAAGCGGTTATATGTCTAGCACTCCACTCCAAACGAGATGTAAGCCCACTAGAGTTGGGTTTTCTTCAACCCCTCAAAGGTTTAAAAAAAAAAATCCCACATTCTTTTCTGCATTTCATTAAAATAGGTTTGAGCAACTACCCTATAGTACTCACCCTAATTTTAAATTCTAAGGCTAATTCCGTATCACAAGCTTTTACCGTTTTGGCATTTCGTTGATGTTGTGATTAATAACATTAACTCCTAAACTTCTAATAAAATATCAACTTAAATACTAAACTTCAATTTCAAAACTATAAAGCCCAATAATAAGATAGTTTGTGATACTTATACATTTCCTATTATCTATCCCCCTCCTTCGACTCCTTAAAAATAAGAATGTTCCACTTTTCAAAATTCAACATCGGTTAATTTTACTCTTTGAAAATCATAAATCTAATTATCACAACCTTAATAAAAAATTCTCTTAAGAGACTTATATCTCTTAAGATATAATTAACTATAAGGGCTTACCCTTAAAAAGAATAAGCAACCCACTTTAAAATAATCTTCCTTTATTTAACTTTTAAATAAAGTAGGGAAAGAATTTTAAGGAAACAACAAACCAAATTTCAGCTTCGCAAATATGTTTGTTTAGAAGAAAATTTATATTTTTGTATTTGAATCCATTGAGGAATAATACTTTTTGTATTTCAATATAATATATTATTCGCAACGTTGCATTCGATTAAAAAATAAAAATTCAAAATCATATTGGATTTATTTTGCCAACACTCAATGCCATCTTTCCAGTATCGTAGCTCTCCAAGGGAAATTCCACACCAAACAGAAACTTCAGAGCCACATCGCTCCCCAACGATCACTAACTAATAGAGAGGTAACGCCACTGCTATAATACTGTAGTGTTCTCAATGAGGAATTTCTAATTAACACATTTTAATTTTCATTTCAATTTATAACCCCTTATGACTAAATTAAGCATATACATAATTTTAAATTTTATGGAAGTTTAACAGATACTCAATCAACTTGCAAATCTTATCAAATTTAGGGTCATCATAGGTAGACCCAACACTATAGATGTGATCATTACACATCATGCTTCTCAATCACCTGCAAGTCTTTTCAGCAACTCTTAAGGGACAAGCTCATACAGGATTCTACTCTCTTTCAAGTGGAACTATCATACTTTTAATGATTTGGCTAGACTTTTTATGAAACAATTCATCAATCAATCATCAAAGACTCCATTCATCTTTTCGGGATTCACCAAAATGAGAGAGAGATTCTTAAGGAGCATTTTCAACAGTTTTCATCTAAAGCACGCCAAAGCCCAAGAATATATCCGAAATTATTAAGCGGTGTTTTGCTTGGAGGTCTCCAATCTAGACTTCTCTACTCTTCACTGACGCGAGAGGTTGTTCACACCTATGGTGATATTATTCATTGAGTAAAAGTTCAAATAACTACTAATGATGTCATAATGCTCAGAAAAAATAATTCAAGCAATCCTCCACTAAATATAAAAATTCACAAGAAATTAATCAACCTCTCTAACACAAAAAGTAGGAGCAGTCATAATACACCAAATTAGGCCAAGGTCACCTAACTATACCCATTTAAATACATCTAGGGCTAATATTCTGGTAGAGATTTAAAATTTTAAACACATGAAGTGGCCAAAGCCTCCAAGGAAACCAAATGATAGATATCAATCTCAATACTACAACTTTCACTGTTTAAAGAACTTTTATTAAAAAAATATTTTCAATTGAAAGATGAGATTAAACATCTGATTTGCCACTGGCATTTAGGACATTATTTATAAAAGAAACTTGTGAATTGTTAGCTTCAAAATAGTGGAGAACAGAAAAATTGTGTTAAGAAAATTGTTGAATTATTGAATAGGAGCTCCACCATATTGAAACAACTCAAACAAGTTGAACTCCACATAATTTTGAACTTTTGTATTTTTCATGTAAGCTTTTTTGTTTGAATTATCGATTAAGCTTTTTTTTTTTTTTATCAATAATAATGCATCTAATAAAATCTCCTAGAAGGCACGCCCATGAGGTATCCTTGATAGGAACATTATCCTCACTATAAAGATCCCATGAGGGCAAGTGACAGACATTGACTCTACTCAACACCCCAAAAAGGCAACCCATGAGTTAGCTATTATGGGAATTGGGAAGCTAGAAGTAGACATGATCATTAATTAAAAAGGATTCATGAGAACACATAGTTGATAGAGTCTTCACTCATTCAAAAATCTCAAAAGATAAAAGCATTTGAAGCTTCATGGTTATCTAAAAACCTTTAAAATATAAAGACCTCAGAAGACACAGATGTACATAAATCTCAGAAGATATATATACACCTAAAGTCTCAAAAGGCATAAGCCTCATAAGGAATATAATTATTCAAAAATCTCAAAAGTTATAAGTACAAAAAAAATTTTATAAGTCTAAAAGTCTCCAAAGGTACAAGTACACAAAGCCTCATAAGGTAATGTTTCTCTTATGCTCCAAAAATTTCAAAGGGCTATAAGCATTAAAATATATAGATTTCTTTGATTCTTCAAAAATCTCAAAAGACTAAAAGTCTAAGAAGGTATAGGTTTCTTCAATTTCTTTGATCACTATGCTTTAATTGGGGAACAATAAATGATTTGATTTCCTCTAAGGGGCAAGTTCATAAATCAGTAATATATAAAGATTGAGTGTTTATTATTTCTAACAAATTGAATACAAATATCAATCAAGCTCATATATATACATATATATATATATATATATATATATCACATATAGAGCTATTACATTTACATTATGTTAACATAGTAAATTTTCAAATTTCTACATCAGTGTTCAATATATGATTTTTTCATCTTAAAATTTGATGCAAGTTGTTTATGATAGCACACATGCTCCACTGGTCAACCCAGTCACGTGATACGCGGCTCCACCTTCTATGTTACTCCTGGAGACAGCCACTGCTTCTCTGTTTCATCAGACTGCTGTTAACGGCTCACAGGGATACACATCATTATGTTCCCTTCTTCTCTCTATATAATGTATTCCCTGTAATACATCCGTTTTAATGAAATATGAAGAACTACTATAGCACTTCTTCTTCTTCCTTTGTGTCTTCCTCATCTAAGTCCACTTAGGACTTTCTTCTTGGTATCAGAGCGTATACGCTCCGTCCTGCTTAGCTACGACGATGGCCGAACAAGACTCCTCAGCGACAACGCCTCCGATCTCCTCAACTGCAATGCCACCTATCGCTACTCCCTCAATAGTCGTAACTGAGCTCACCATACCTCCATCACTCAAGTTCTTAATGTCGAACTTGAAATCCATCATCAATCTTCAACTCACCAATGAAAACTACCCCATCTGGAGCTTACAAGTATACAAGCTGTTTTCAGCGAATGGATTCGAGGGACATCTAACGGGAAGCTCGGTTCAACCAGACAAACCCGAAAATCATCCAGATAGTCGACTGTGGAAGCTCATTGACCAAAACTTAGCTTCAGCTCTACTCTCTACAATATCTCCCTCGGTAATACCCTATATTCTCCATCTCTCGAGTACCAGTGAAATCTGGATGACTCTAGCCAACCGGCTACAACCCACAAATCGCTCAAGAGTAATCCAATTGAAAAGCGAACTGCATAATGTTCAAATGAAGGACAGCTCCATGAACCAATACCTCACACAGATCAAAACGCTGGTGGACAACATAGCAGCGGCCGGATCACACATTGACTCCGAGGATATTCTCATGTACATCCTCAATGGATTACCCCCTACATATAATGCCTTCAAAACTTCAATTAGGACCTCTCAGCTCCCCATCAGCCTCGACGTCCTCTATTCACTTCTATGCAGTGAAGAGATCAGCATCCAAAATCAGTTACAACGTGAAATCAATCCCTCTGCTGATCACACGGCCTTATACACAGTCAACCGTGGCAGAGGAAATTACAGGGGAAGAGGAAGCTCTCGTGGACGAGGCAACTCTAGACCACCAGCAACCAGCAGACCACAGGACAATGCAAACTCCTCTCGTCCAACCTGCCAAATCTGCGGCAAAGTAGGCCACAGTGCTCTCATGTGCTGGCACCGATGCAATCTTCAGTACTCTGCCTCTGATTCAACCAAGGCATTCTACTCTCAGCCAAGCATAACTTACGCTCAGCCGAACTCACACACCAATGAATGGGTACTCGACTCAGGAGCATCATCACACCTCACTGCCAATGCTCAAGTTCTCCAGCAATCT